TTGCCAAATTTCGGAATAATTTCTACTCCTGAAATAATATTCCAAGAAAATTATTTTTTCTATAATTTCTGTCTGAAAGTTGTGCTGCGGCCTATACACGCACGCGGCCTATACATGCGTAAATACGGTATTATATATGTATAAACTGTAAGTTTTTGTTTCGCCTGTCAGAAACCCTGATTCAGCCACATCCCAGTCTACAGTAGGCATCTGCAGTGAAGAAGCTGGGAAACTCTGTCCCGTGGGGATAACCTCACATGACAATAGATTTGAAATTTACTTTTATATTACAAAATGAAAGGTAAAGCACTTCCTGTTTTATACAAGCTGAATAAATTCAGAATGCGTCTACATTTGTATGCTGATGTATGATCTTCAGAAGAAGGGGTCTGTGCGTCTTTTTATTATTATTTTAAACAATCAATTGCTGAGCAAAGCGGTAAATTGGAAATGGTGTAGGGCCCATAAACACATCTACGTACCTTCTGAAACGCAACACCAATTTCCATGATCCTTTTTTTTTCTTGGCACTACAGCCCCAGTGGGCCTAGGCCTACCTCCATGAACTTCTCCGTTCACTTCGGTTTTTCTAGATCTTACACATTCGGTAGGACTCCTTGGGCGGGTGATCAGCTCGTCGCAAGGCCTCTTCCTGTAGACAAACACAGAAAAATGCACACAAACATCCATGCCCTGAGTGAGATTCGAACCCACGATCTCGGCTTTAGTACATACCTCAGACCGCTCGGCTACCGTGACCGGCCCATGATCCCTTTACCCACCTCAATTCAGATATTCGGTGTTTTGGCAGAACAGATTTACCAACGCAATATAAATATTGTCTGACGCCGCCAGCCATTTCATTCGAAGGCCAAGACAATATTATCTTAAGTTAAAATTACTGTACGGGCCTTGGAAGCGACGTACTTGCGTCAGTGAGATCCTCTTCTGTTGACGGTGGGAGTACTATCATATCATGGAACTCTCCGGAGTGCCTAACGGAAACTGGAATGACGTCACTGGACGCTGTGAACGTACTGGTGCTAGTAGTAGGCATCTGAACAGCGTCCTCCCGCTTGAGACTCCTCCTCATCCGATAGCCACGATAGTTGGACTGAATCTTGATAGCTGCCTCGTCCAGCTCCTCTTGCTGTAAGGTCTGCCACACTTGTCGGTCCTCATCTTCGTTTACCGGTCCGTCCAACTGTAGGGAGACAGCGGTCCTCGACCCTGCAGGCCTCTGAACTTTCTCGTCCAGCTGACTGTCTAAAGACAACTCCCTCTTTACCCCAACTTTCTCAGTTGTGAATGGAGCTTCTTGAGATTCGTCATTCAAGGTTTCCTGTTGCTGTTTCTGAACTTCTGTCTCCATTGAACCAGAAGTATGAACACCCTCGTCCTCGACTTCCTGAGACGTAAGAGGATCTCCAAGAGATTTCTGACTATTACCAATGGATGGAGCTGTTGTGGAATTGCTGGCCTTCATATTATGGACATGACGCCTCGTCAAAAATCCACGTACCCCAGCTTGAATCTTTGTAGCTGCGGATGACGCCGACGAATCAGGGTCTGAGGCGTCGTTAGAGACGCCTTCTTGTGTTGCATGAATTTCATCGCATTCTTGTGGTTTCTGCAACTCTGCTAGTTCGCTATCAGCTTGTTGATCCTCTCCCGTCTCTCGATTCCTGGTCCCCTTGCCAACCGACTGCTGCACCGGAGGGCCGAACAGGAAGTCATGTGACGTCACTGATTCAGGCACCTGTCCCATACAGAAAGACCAAAACCAAAATTTAAGTTAATATTAAACACTTTTCTACTTCCTCACGTGCATTTAGGATACATAAACAACTTATAGTTCGAGAGCCATTGTTCTTCTTGAATTTTAAGACGCACATTTCCTTTGATCCTTACGAAGTACTGACCCTGAATTCAGTTCAGTTTGGATTTGAGAATGTAGAGGAAGCAGGGCTAGAGAAGATGAAGTGACAAGAATGGCAGACCTGTATAAAACTACTGAACATGAGAGTACTTGAAGGTGGTAGACTAGCAGTTCGATTTGCAACACGTCAGTGGTTTCCTATTTGTTTAAACACAGAATATAAGAACTTAATGTAATGTGACATAAGGCAGGGCCAAGATTTAAGACTATAAATCTGCCATCTCTTATTTACATATCCGTCGATGTATGCGCATGTCATTCAATGACGACGTCTGAACTCAAGAATTTGAGACAGAAAAATGATCGTAGAAACGGTGAGGAAATAGACATTATGAAGCGAATGCTCGTGACATATTCCAGTGTACAGTCTAAGCCTACGCTGGAGAGAGTGAGTAAAACCACGAAAACCTTACTTGTTTGTTACTTACTGTATTTTTGTATTGTTGATAATCCTAATTTTATATATTAATGTATTAATGTAAATTGATGTGTAGGTATTAACTTGTAATGGTTTCAAAAGTTCTCCATGAGTTGGAGGAAATTCAGTCATATGTTTAAAGGCACTGAATATGTTAACTGGATTCCGTCAAATGGCTCTACAGCCCCCTTGGGCCCTGGCCTCTGATTTTCAGTTTCATGATAATTTTACAGACGGTAGGACTCCTTGGACGAGTGATCAGCTCATCGCAAGGTCTCTACCTAAACACAGGACAACACAAACACAGAATAAACACACACACCAAATATCGATGCCTTGTGTGGGGTTCGAATCCACGATCCCGGCTTCCGAGCGAGCGAAGACAGTGCATGCCTTAGACCGCTCGGCTACCGTGACCGGCAGCTCAGGCAATTAGGTACCGAATTTTTACAGCCGAGACTGAAGTTCAGTAGCAGTAGCGTCTAAAGACCCGTCCACATTACTCGTGCTCGTGCGTNGCCGCTCGGCTACCGTGACCGGCTTTATAAATCTTAGAGAAATAAATAATTGTGTTTGTAGTTTTCAGTTTTACTGTCAGGAGCGTACTTCGCCTTCCTTTCAGTCCGATTTTTAAACTCGACATTTCGCAGTTTTCAGCAGTGCAGTCACATATTAACTACAGTCCTTGATATCTGTAGGGTATTATAGTAGCAAAAAAGCTATCCCTCTAACAGGCCGTGGAGGCCCATAGGATTGTGAGACGTCGAGGCCCCCACGTTTTCTGTAGACAATCGGCTTACAGATGGAGGTGAGATTGTCAGCCTTACGCGCCGGCAGCCCGTTACACC